CCAAAAAAGGAGTAGTGCTTTGTACTGAGTGCAGAAATACGCAGCTGACTCATCTCTAAAACAAAGTTAATCATGTTCGAAAACCATTTCATTTGGTGCCCAATATTTGTGAACCTCCAAATTCGCTAAAACTTCACAACATATCTGACATGTTGATTACGGAAATGATATTATTAAAGCTAGCAAGCATAAATAAGCTGATAAGGCTTTTCTTCCCTGCTTACAACTATGCTTGCTCTCTATCTCGACGTGCTTGTCTTAGGTCACTCGAAAAGTCTTTCGTCGTGTTCTTGTGCTTTCCTCTTCCAAAATAATCAGGAATCAACAATGTTAAAAAGGCATTAGCTACCTAATTTTGGGTGGCGGTCAAGATGAACGATAGCATGTGCCAGCCGCCAGCTGGGTACCGTACGCGGTGCGCTGATCGCTCCGCCCTCTTGTTAATTAGCTTATTAATGCGTTGCAGCTATCGGAAAACTCTCTAATAGTTCATTCAAGCTTCTTCAGTTGGTTCCAATTTGGATAACAGTAGATTTCAAAATTTCAGTTAAACTGCAAATCAGTTTTCAGATCATTTTTCAATATGAAATTAGCAAGCTCTTTTTAATGTATTTCAATTATCTGTTTCTAGTAGGCTTGTCCAAAATGACTTTTCATTGCAGGCATGAGGAAATTGTTTCAAAAATGCTTGGAAAAGTGTTTTTCTCTATTCACTGTTACCATATTGAATATGCTTTGTTGTGCACTCTCAAGTTTAGTTCAAAAAGAAGTCAGCTCATCGAGAAATACTATTAATATTGCTGAAATAGATATGAAATAAATCAAAATTCTTTTATTTTGCCTCCAAAAGCTGCTATCCTCAATATAAATCGATCTGTAACTCAATCGAAATTGCGTGTGAACTAGTCGTAAGATGTGAGGTCACTCAAACAATCATGCCTGAGGTGTTCTAGATGGATTGCACACTTCAAGTTGGATATCCAGGAGTCACTCGGTCATTCATAGCTAGAACAGCAAATCTCTTGCACACGATCAACACATCAGCTGTTCATTGATTGCCAAATGTTCATTGATTGTTTCTCGGACGATACCTCAGGTATCGTCCGAGAAACTCGTCCGCCGCGGTAGGGCGGAGCAGCGAACACGTTATTGCCAGTTCATGACCCCGCGCGCTACTGGTACCAGCTATCGTTCATCTTGACATATACCCTCTAATTTTTATTGGACTTCATTATGTTTCAGTAAGCACTGAGGGGTAGCTCAAAAAATAAACAAAAACCCCGGTGCGCCGTCAACTCCTTTTGTGAGAGTCACCTTATAGATTGTGGGGTATGTTTCGCTAGAATTTTTCGCTATCGCAGTTCTAGCAAAGGTGGTTACTGATAGCTACTAATATACTAACATGTGGTTTGGCGGCATCATAAGCGAGAATGGCGAGAACCCTTCTAGGTTATACGTGTAAGTCTGCTCAGTTTCATTGACAAACTGTCTTTAGAGCAATATCATACTACTTTGCTCTGACAGTAATCACATCCGAGCCAGCTATAGCGTGCAAGATCAGCAAAATTACTTTTCTTGAGTCCATCACCCTTTTGGAATGGTTGATGGTTCATGGCCATCCTTCCAATGATTGTTCTAAATGCATCACAATGTCACTTCTTGTGGTCGTCTTGGTCCATTTATTGCTGTAAATATCAACGCCGAAAAAAGATTGCATCAAATTATGAGCAACAATAGCAAAGACAACGCGCTCTCAATATGCGAATGCGCCATTTTGTGGGGCGTTTCGCTGAAATTTTTCGGTAATGCAGCTTTAGCAAAGGTGGCTACTAATAGGGCGCTATGACAATTTGAGGCCTGCTGATAAATTTATGCAGTTAAATTTGCTATTTGCTTTAGAGGATTCCTCTGAGATTCTCGCTCATATGGTGAAAACATCTTTCAGAGCATTGCAAGTCATTAATTTTCCCTTCCCTGAGTCTGCACTTTTTGAAGCAACTGCACCATTCAAAAAAGACGTAGCCTTGGCATTGCTTTGCACACAATGATGGCGTCCTCAACTGCCTTACATACAAGTTTGAGCTTGAAGAATATAATTATTTGAAAATTGCGTTTTCATATTGGAATGAAGCCGCACAAGTTTCCCTCCAAAGCGATTCTGCATGTTCGGTAAGACCCTCAGAAACTAGAAGACTTTCTCTACAGCTTCATACGTAGAAATACCTATCAGCCCTTGGCACTTTCTTATAGGCTGCGTCCGGGCAAGATTTTGGATAAAGTTTTTTTTCTCACCTGAGATCCTTCTCGCTAATACCAAATTGCAGCTTGAAGAGCACGAAAATGTTGGAAACAAATTATTCCAAAGGCTTGTTGTGAAATTAGACGTCTGCCGCCAAGGTTGAGACGCAGAGTTGTGTGGGACTTTACGTCTTGATCATGTGCGATATGCGCACTCTGGCCTATCGAATTGACTCGTCCCGGTCGCCGGGTCAGCTCCGGTTGCCACTTCTAAAATGGTTTTCTTGCTTCAATAGCATATTAGTGCAGTGCCACTTAGGCTGCGTTCATACTGATCCCGAATTCCAGCACAGCGCTCTAACTAAGCGCTGTGCTGAAACTGCTCCCGAGCTTCGGGATCAGTATGAACGCAGTCTTAGATGCGAGCTTTATTGAAGCGGACGAATTTGTACTTTAAGTTCTTACATCTGGCTAGACGCTACTTTCAAATTGTGGCCCAACATCAAAGACGCAAAAAGCGAAAAACTTTCCAAATGACCTAATATTTTGCACGTTGTGCTTGGCTGAATTGTTCACGAATCTTGTTACTAATCACCTCATTATATCCCCTTTCTTACACTGACCCCTCGATACGACCCCCAGAAGCGGCGTACCACATCCTGATCCTGATAAAGACATAAATTTTTTTGCATTACTTGGCCATAGCTATGGAATGACTGCAGTCACAACACGCTCTTCGAGCTTATAATCGAGAACCGGACATTAAAACACAACTTGTACTATTTTTCTTTTTAAAAAAACGTGGACATAATTGATTTAGACCCTCAATGACTTATTCTTGAGACCGAAGTACTGTATAGAAAAAAGGCAAAAAATAACAAATCGTGATCTACATTCAATCTTTACTGTGTAGTAAGAACATAATTGCAAATTTCTTTATTACTTTCCGCCAAGGCGAAAAACAGCATTAAAAATCTGATCTCAAAAAAAACTTGTTTCGTTTGGAAGCGGTGTAATAATCCTTAAGAGAAAAAAGCAAGATTTTATTTCGTCAAAAAGAAAGTCGTTTTCATGGATACGTCTACCCTTGGAGGCAGTGTCTCGATAGATTCGCGCCCTGTGGGATATAGCTGTGGTGGGGTTCCTGGTCACCCCACTAACCTCCAGGCTAGTTGATGCCGCCGCTTAGCGAAAATAGCCTTACCGGCGCGCGCAACCCCCAATCGGCTCGCGCTCGGACTAAATCGCTTACCCCACGGCGGCTCCCGCATTGTGCATGCTATTCAAAGCAAAAATTAGAGGCAGCAGGGTCTTCGTGCCAAGACCTCGCAACTTTCCAGAGATTTTCCGCCGAGCCGCATTTTGGAAATTGGGTAAACTATCCAAAAACGGTCTTTTCACCCCTTTCAAAGCTCATATTCGAGTTTTACGTCCCAGATCGCCTTGTCGTCTCAGATCGCCGGTAGCAGGCGGTTTGCGAACTCGCGCTTTTCTGCCAGCGGGCAGCAATGCAAAATTTTCTGCGAGCGCTTGTCAATTAACCTTCAGCGAGCCCACTTTCAGCAAGCTTTCGGAGTCTTTTTACGCAGCTTCGAGCTTACACCGAGCAAAGGTAACTCACTACATAACAGAGGTGCCTTTGATGGTTCAATTACCTGAGTTTGGGGTACTTTCTCTCAGCGGAAGGTACATACGGGCTGTGCGTTCCTCTAGAAAGGACCGTGCGGCCCTCCATAATTTTGCATATTCTTGCGCAAAGTCCGCGAGGACGCAACTACTGCGCCGCAACTGATCTATGGAAGAACGATTGTTCTCCGAGCACTTGTCTAGAATTTGACCAACATTCTTTTAAATTTCTGCAAGCGGACCGCAAAAAATCAGCTACTATTTTTTCGGTGACCCCTTGCCCATGTGCCCAAATATCGCATGACCGCCTGCCCCCGGCGTTTATCTTGTAATCGAAAGGCCTAGAATATACAAAAAGATAGAAATGCGAAAAACGCTGCTTTATATTGGGCCCAGAATTGCTGAATTTGTATCCATGTTCAAAAGCGCTCAAACATCAACACAGTAAAACCTTTTGTATTAGGGTGCCTCATGATTTTCTATCTTTTTACCCTAAAAATTAGCATTTCTAACATTAGAACTGAGGCCTTACGAAGTATGCAAATACATGATTGTGATTCTGTATGTATGAGTAATATGATCGCATGCGTAGACCTTTAGGGGCGAAGTTCGCCATTTTATCTCACTCATTTTTATTTTAGCCATGGAAAAAAATCAGAAAGTTTACAATTGGATGCGCGATGATAAGCTCATGCTAGGATAAATGGAGAAATTTTGGATGATTTGTGGTGGAATAGATTTTTGACGGAAAAGCTCGTTTTCGACCACTATCAGATTTCAGCTTAGAACTTCACGTGGGATACGATTTGAGCAGGCTTTTGATAGTCACATTGTAGAGCTTGCTTTGCCCTATCGAATGATCACTTAAGCATCAGATGAAGGAAAGATACAAAAATACGGCGGTTGTAGTAATCAGTGAAAAATTATGAGACACCCTAATAGATAGTCGTTGAATCTAATCTTAGGTTCACATAGGTATTACGTAGAAAGAAATAACAAAAGAAGATTGGGTGAGCGAGCTTGTGACTTCTATACGAGCACTCCTAAGTAGGTAGCGCTGCGCTTACGAAGAAGTAAACGAGTCAAATGTGGAAATTAGGAAAGATGTTTTTGTTTAGAGAAAAATCGCTTTTCAGACGGTGGCTATCTTTGCTGCAACATTTTTCAAAAACGTCATTATTTTGAACGATGTGAAAGTCGTTAGAGACTATCGCGAAAGTGTAAAGGTCGGCAAAGAACTTAAAGAACAACGTAAGAAAAAAGCAGTTTTTGTAGTGTAACACTAATATAAATATAAAAGCTTACAGCTGCGTCAAGGACAACATTAGCGTCAAAGAAGATTTCATTTAGCCCACTTGAGACTTCAAGCCGAACATCTAAGCGTGGTCGAACGAGATTTGAAGAACAAAAGAAACTAGCCTATCAAAACCAAAAAGAAGCTTCGGTGAGTTTTAGTAAAAGCTCCGCTTAATCATGACTGGATCCCTTTCGAGTGAGACAAATTTATAAAAATTATTTTGGAAATTCAGTGCGGCATCTCAGACAGCGGATAGGACCCCTCCGCCGGAGAAATGGCAGGGTCGCGGCGTATCCCCAGCGGTGGGTCTCCCATTTGTCCGGCGGAGCCCTCCCATTTCTCCGGCGGAGACCTCCCATTTCTGCTCCGGATACCCCCCATTTTCTGCTCCGGAGACCTCCCATCTTCTGCTCCGGATACCCCCCATTTTCTGCTCCGGAGACCCCCCATTTTCTGCTCAGCAAGTCTGCCGCGGCATACTGTAATTAGCCCTAATTAAAGGCAGCTTCCAGGCAGATCTGGACCTATGGGGCTTTTACATGGAAAGTACTTTTGGGGCCCTAACTAAGGCACTGCCGAAGCAGCAGTTCAGGTAGTGCTCTAATGGCGGAGATATTCCCCTCGAAATAGACCCCCCGCGAACGTATTCGCATGGATTCATGGCAGTTTCGCGCCAGGATCCACGCTTTGCGCCATGAATCCATGCGAAACACGGTCGCGGGGTCCGGTTTCGAGCAGAATATCACAGGCGTTAGAGCACTACTTGAGCTGCCGGTTGGGTAGTGGCTTAGTTAGGGCCCCAAAAGTACTTTCCATGTAAAATCCCCATAGGTCCAAACTTGCCTGGACGCTGCCTTTAAGCTCCAAACCCCAATTTTGTCTCTAAACCCCACCCAAATAAGCCGAATAGGACCCCCTCCCCCCCGGGTAGGAGTTTAGCGCGACCCTCACCCCGTACTCTACCCCCTCCCTCTCACCCCTAGCGTTTGTGGATAGAAGATAGGAGAAAGAACGAAGAGATTAAACATTTATCTCAAATTTTTCAAACTTCTTCGAAAAATCATCTTATATCGCTAAGCATTTCACACTCACTGGTGTAAAAGAGTGAACCTTAGAATAGCGAATAAGCGAACGTTCAAAACGTGACAGATGAGGGAACGGGCATAGTGTCCACGATTTCGTCGCCGCGATTTCATCGCCGGGGAAATCGGTGGTTTGGGCGACGAGATCGCGACGACGAAATCGTCCGTCGCGCGGGCTTGGGCATAGTGTGCGCGATTGCGTGCAGTCACACACATGACAATTTATTGCACGTAAAGAACGCCATTCAAACGCAATTTCATCCTGCAGTGTTCGATGAGCATTCCACCTGCGAGCAAATAACCATGAAGATTCGTTCAATCTTGGTTTCATTCAATCTTCAATTTTGATCGTTCAATTTTGACAAAGTATTCTGAAGTTTGGTTGAATGAATGTTTATATCTGTAAATCTAGGTTCAAAACATTCACTAAGAACATCACTTACTTTTTGAGAGGGTCTATCCTCATATTAACGGAAGTATACATTGAACAGCTCAAGGGAGTGGTCGTCAAAGACACAAGAAGAGAACAACAGTAGGTGAAAATGTCCAAGCGAATCGTTCATACAATGCTTGTTCAATCTACTCTGTTAGGTACGCTGTAGGTGCATGGAATAAACGCATGAAAGCTGTGATGGCTCCCAGAAGCAGTCGAGGTGCCTAGAAAATGGTTCTTACTATTTTCTCAATTGCGAAAGCAATCAAGAGAAAAAACGTTAACGAGAAGACTCAAGACTTTTTGTGAAAGCACTTCTGCCGACTACGGCCCAGAAGAATCACAGCGTTTCTTTCCGCTTAATCTCGAGCAAAAAAGATTGCCCAGATTCAGAGATAGATGGCTGAACCACTTGGTTGCCTATTTCAGTAAGAATTTATACAAAAACACGAAAATAAATACGGAAGAAATGGAAAAATCGTGAATCGGCAGACAAAAAAGGAAATATAAAGTACACCTACCTTTCTAGAGTAGGGCAGTAAGCTAGGCATATCCTTCCATGCAAAAGCACTATACTGAGGCACATTTAAAAACACATTATAATCATTAACCTACGATTGAATGTATCAGATATTGCGTGACTGAAACGTGCAAGGAACAGAAGAAGTATAGAATAAAATGCAAGGGCTGACTGTGACTCACCTAGGAATGAGCTTGTCAAACCGCTGCACTACTATGGCAGAGTTTCTTGTGATAAATGGGTCTCCAAAATTCATAACAACTGTATTTCGGCCAGAGTTTGGAAGCTTTGTATACATTTCAGATGAACCTTTGGTGAGATAAATCTAAAAGATGAGTGAAATCAATGACAAAGCATGATGAAGCGGACTTCTGAAGATCTCAACGTACTGTTAGACATGCTTTGGCAGCATCGTTGACAATAGTTCCCAATGAGGAAAGCTCATTTTTGAAACCGATCATCATGGGAGACAAAACGGTAAAATTAGATATGTACATGGGCATAAAGGTTGTAATAGAACATCTGAAACTGAAAATCATCCAAGAACGAATAGCAATGAGACATCAGAACTGACCTAAAATCTATGGAAGTTTCCAGTGTTAGTTGTGATGAAAGCTGACGAGTGGGATGTGTTGCTTGAAATTCCTCGCCAGGTAAGTATATCGCTTTATGAGGTAAGAAGCCCAAAGAAGCCCGAAAAAGCCTAAAAAGCCCGAAAAAGCCTAAAAAGCCCAAAAAAGCTCAAAAAAGCCCGAAAGCGCCAGAAAGAGCCGGAACACTTCTCGCACGTTTTGGCGCTAAGGCATGTGTGTTGACTTCGCATTCGAGCCTTTTTGTCATTTTCTGTCTTTCGCATGATAAGATAATGTCAGAATTTTACCAAAAGTTCGTCTCTACATTCCGGCTCTTTCTGGCGCTTTCGGGCTTTTTTGGGCTTTTTCGGGCTTCTTTGGGCGCTTTTGGGCTTTTTTCGGCCAAGTATGACGGGTCCCTGTCCGGGGCCTCATGCGGAAGGTGCGTAGGGGAGCAAAACTTCTTTTGCGCACGTCTATGCTCACTACAGCATTTACGAAAAGAAGAAAAAAAAACAAGAGGAACAAAAGACTGCCAAATAGAAAAGCCGTACCGCTGCTGCTCCGCTATCCGATAGTCCATTGCATATCCATTACATCCAGCGTCATAGTCCTCATGAATATTCCTGAATAGATCAAACGTGATTACACTTTTTACAGCCCTAACAGCTTCATAAATACCTTATGACAACATTACTCCTCTGTCTCCGAAAGAGCGGATCATCCATGGGTGCGTAACAGTTGTCATTCAGAAATCGCAGCGCGACGGTATCGTGGACACTATGCCCTAGGCCTGATGCCGCAATGAATGATTTGCAACGACGCGCCAAATCGATACGCAGCCTGCTCCGGGGCCCTCCCATTTCTGCTCCGGATACCCCCCATTTTCTGCTCCGGAGACCTCCCATCTTCTGCTCCGGATACCTCCCATTTTCTGCTCCGGATACCTCCCATTTTCTGCTCCGGAGGCCTCCCATTTCTGCTCCGGACCCCTCCCATTTTCTCCGGCGCGGCTCTTCCAAATTTGGCGGACACGCGCCGCGCAGATTTCTGCGGCGCGGAGTCCGTCAAATCTGGCAGAGTCGCGCCGGAGAAATGGCGGACCTTTGCAGCAGGGCCGGAGAAGCCTCCCATTTGCCTGCCAGTGATGCCACCGCGATGGACCGCCCATTTGCCCTTCTCTCATTGGTCAACTGGGTCCGGCGCGACTCTGGCAGTTTCCGAGGGTCCGGCGGAGGGGTCCCGTCGATTGTCTGAGATAAAGTCATTGAATGCAGCTTCCCACCAGATTGGAGGTGCCTGGCTCTGGTATTGATGTTATAGTAGACCCCCTAACTAAGCGATGACAGGAGTTTACAGCGCGAAAGGGGGTCCACAAAGTCTACAGATCGCCCCCCCCCCCCAAGTGGCCCGAATGTTACGGTAGGCCAAAACGCCTCCCACAGGGTCGAGGAACGAACACCTCAATTCGGCACCGTTGCCGCGGGCTGCTGGTCCTTTCGTCCTACCGTTGTGCATCGTGTTGGGACCAGTGGTCCGCGGAGGCGGTGCCTAATTGAGGTGTTCGTTCCTCCACCCCCTCCCACAGACCAATTTCGAAGTGCGAGGCCAGAGCACGCATAGCGCACACATGAGTTCAGAGTTTCACAACAACTCTGCGTCTCTACCTTGCATGCACCTCGTACGCCCGAGCCTACCGTAAGATTCGAGCCACTTGAGGGCGATTTATAAATTTGGTACCCCCTTACGCGCTGCAAACTTCTGTCGTCACTTAGTTAGGGGCCTCTATTACATTAATAATAGAGCCAGGTACCCCCCCCCCCAACCAGGTGGGACGCTGCCTCTAAGGTGAACTGCAGTAATGTCAAAAAGTCCCGCGTTCTTTGAAATAGAAGCAAGAAGAGGTGTGATTCATAGTGCCTACTAAATTTGAATGCGTAAAAGTGGTCACAGCACACAACATGAGCATGGCTAAGTCATAGCCCATAGCCCCCTTACTCAAACTGTCTGACTTCCTTCGAGATTGATTATAGGGTACTGCACAAAACAACGCAAGGACTGCCTTGCATATTTGTCCAAATTCCTTTACAATCAGTCAATTTCCAGGAAACAACATCGAAACGCCGCAGAAAAACGTCTCAAAGCAAACCAGAAATTGTTCTGGTCGTTAAACAAAAACAGGTTACTTTTATTGTGAACATTGTATAAGCATTTAGCACCAAAAGATTAGAACAATACGCATGTAACCACACGGAGCCATTGACACACACTCCGTTTGAGTAATCAGCATGCTCTTGAAGGTATTTTTCAGCGACTGGACCCAATATCTACTTTTTCGCTTACCTGAGCCTGTCCGCACGCTGAAGACGAAAATCACATCTGATAGTGTGAAAATGACGAAAACAAGATTTTTCTAAAGCTTCGCATTTTGCATTCGGACGAAAGAGATAGTTGTCAGTGCAGAGAGTTGCAGTGGGACCCTACAGATTCCATCGTGGAGTCGTGCGCACTCTGCCGCAGAGCAGGAATTACGCAACTAGGCGAGGTTTTTCCGCTAGGGCGTAAGCCCCAACATTTCAAGCTGATTTCTTTCTTTTGGTTAAATTATGACTTTACAGTTGTGCGAAGCCGTGTCCGAGCTCATCCACTTTTGGATGGAGACAAACCCCAGATACCCCAATCCCAGATACCTTACCGGCAGTGGCGGACCGAGGGGGGAGGCGAGGGGGGGGGCGCGCCCCTCCCCCGAGAATGGGTCGCGAAATTTTTAAAATTTACTTACTTGTATAAAAATGCGCAAACGACTTGTTTATTTTTGTAAACAATTGAAATAATTTTTAAATTCAAATTAGCCTTGTAAAAAAATTTTTTTCGGGAGCCCAGATTTTAGGGGCTGGGGACCCGCAAAAATTTTGAGAAGCACCCCCAAAAAATTTCCGGAGTGCGTGGCTAACGCCCACGCACCTTCATTAGAAAAAAAACTTATGTCCCCCCCCCGGGTCGAAATCCTGCGACCGCCACTGCTTATCGGGCATTGCCTTAAGAGTCTGACAATTACATATTAGGGACCCGTCAGACTTCACCGAAAAAAGCTCAAAAGCGTCTAGAAACCCAAAAGGCCAACGCCCAGAACTTTTGATAGAATCCTGACATTATTTTGATGTGCAGACGACAGAAAATTAAGCAAAAAGGCTAGCTTGCGAAGTCAACACAATGCTCGAAACCAAAATTTGGCGCGAAAGAAGACGCTTTGGCTCTTTCCGGCGCTTTTGGGCTTTTTTGGGCACTTGTGGGCTTTCTTTGGCGATAACGGGTCCCTTAGGTTGGACTGTGCCATAAAGAATGCCATATCAGGTGGGGCTATCAAGTGATTATGTGCCATCATGCGGCAGCGAAAATTTGGTTGATGTATCATTCGACAGAGCAAAGCAAACTCTGCAAGAGAGTGTTTAAACGTTTGCGCCAACTTCACACCTGAAGTCTAAAACTAATTTAGGAAGTTTTACTGCCTCAAAACTCGAGGAAATCGCATCTCCGTCCAAAAACTTTGCAGGGCTCTAACTTGCTCACGTAAACACTCTCTATCAGACACAGAGTAGGCAAGTTTTGAGTTTTTTCATGGCTATAAAGAGGAGGCTAAATTTGAAATTCTTTTGCCAAAGCATCCAGAACTTTTCCCAAGTGGTTTTATGCTACAAACTTTATAAGTTCAACCACGAATTTTCAGCTTTTTGTAAGCGCTTTCAAAAAAGTCAGGTTTAGCACTGGGAACTCGAATACCGCGACATTTTCGAAGTTTTGGCCTGTAACTATTCTTGTACCAGTGCGTCACCTCTGCTTTGCATAGGTTAGACCGCGTAGCGCAGCGCAATAAGGCTGGGTTCATGCTGATTTCCATGTTCCGGAACCGTTCCCGCACAGTTCTCGCACAGTTCCCGCACTGTGCTGGAACTGTTCCGGAACTGTGCTGCATGCGCTGCAGCCGCCCGCACGCGTTTTGAACGACGGGAGTTGAAGAATTTTGACCGTTTTCAACGGTTTTTCTTGCAGGTTTCTCTCATTTTGGCCTTATTGCTCTGCCCCGCTTCCCTTTTTGATCAACAGAGCTTCGAACTCGAAACGGGATCAAAGAATAAGCGCTTTTCTTCTTTGCGTATGCAGACAAAAGTTGTATTCTTGTGCTCGTTCATTTTCTCTTCGCTTTATTTTCACTCAGACCTACTCCATTTGTTCCAGGAAAGCTGCTGCATAGTTTCCATAGCCATCTACCATGAATTAGAAAGTTCGAGCAATTCTGAAATTGCATAAATTGGGACTTTTCTCTTGTTTTCTGATGAGTTTCATGCTTGGGCATTCTCAGCCCCTTTCTTTTCTCCATATCGTTGCTTCTTCGTTATTTCTTCTACCCCGCTTCTCCTTGTAATGAGAAGAGCAAGTTGAAGTGGAATTGAAGAAAAAACCTTGTTTTGTTCCATGTATCCGAGCAGATGGTTTTTCATGCTCTCGTCCATTTTCTTCTCCATTTTTTTCCTTTTTTGTTTTACTTCATGTGTTCTAGAAACCTGTCTATGTCCCTTCAATACAGGCGCGAGACTACGCAACGCCTTCCTAGAAATACATACATTCATGCATACATGTGTTTATTAGATTGTGTGATGTGTCGGATGTGTACTATTTGTTAAATTCTAACCATGAAAGAAATTCACCAGCTGTAAAGCTTATGCTTGATGCGGAAAGTACATGCGAAATTCATAGAGTTACGTAGAAATTTCAATGACGGAGATCGAGATTTCGGTTATGTGGAGATTATTGTTGACTACAAACCGCGCGTGGATCAAAATTTGTATGGGTCCCAGTCCCACCTCGTAAGGTTTGCCTGAAACAGCACCACCTCAGCTACTTTTTTCTTGTTCACGCTGTCGCGATAACATTTGATGCGACATTGTTGCGGACAACTAATACAAGCTGAAGCAGAGGTTTTTATTTGTTAAATTTATGCAGTCGTGGTTTTTAAGTTTTTAAAGCACTACAATTCAGAAAGGGAAAAAACAAACTTTAAGTAAAAGAACAGTTGAAAATCGCAAGAGAAGGCGAGAAAAAGCACGAGAGCTAGTGCGGCAGTTAAACGAGTGAGACATACACCTTATGTTAATGTCTGAAAGAACGATCTAATTTATCAAGGAGAAAAAGCAAAAAAGCTAAGAAGACTGATCTTACTGCTTTCGAAGATCAGAGCACAGGTGATACACCAAGTGAAGGAATGAGCTCTGTGAATTCTATAGAATCTATACCTGAAGAGTCAAGGCGGCGCAAAGAACTGGAAAAAGTACGAGAATTAATGCTGCAGTATAAAAGGTAATACGATTCATTCTTTTTGCTTCTACAAGTTGATGAACATTAAGAGAAAGTGGTTCCAAGGAGCAGAAAACAGAAGGTACTCCAAGTGAATGGAAGAATTCTGAGGAGTCCGCATCGCGAGGTGCTGGAGAGAGCGACAAAAGAAGAAAAGCGGTAAGGCATTCCTTACTGTTTAAAATGCCACGGCAAGCCCTCTCCCTCCCCCTTCCGAGTCTTCGATTGTTTAAGCTTATCTGTTACGACAGTTTATAAATTCTACTTTGAAGAGCACAAAATTGGCTTATCTTGTCCTATCTGGACACCAACCTCATCCTACCTCGTAATACCTCCTTCCTTCCTGGACACTCTTAATTGTAAGGCCTAAGGCATACTTTGCGCAATTCGGTCAAATCGCGAAGTTCACTACCTGGCAGTTTGCCAGAGTTCTCCAAATTTGTCGTGCGCGGTCTTCCAGTACATGGTCGCGTAGCTTCTGTGGTTTGTCGCAAACCGATCAAGTCCTGCCTCTACACTAAGAAGAAGGTCATAGTGGGTGGGGACCGAAGATAGAAGGAGGAATGGAATCCTTAGTCTTATGCAAGATTCTGGAGCATAAACTGCTGTCATGAACGCCGGCCTCTTACCCCTTTTATATTCTAGAAAGCCTCCAAGGCGCAGCTTATGCTCCAGAATATAAGACGACAATATATGGCTAAAGGAAAAAAACGCATTTTAATCCAAGTGGCCAATTATTACAAAATATGTAGATGTATACTTTCTGTGTACTGAAAGAGACGGCTGCTGGGTGGGGCTCGCAGTCGTCTCGCTTATGCTGTGCATCTCTTTGTAAGCGTGCTCTCTAATCATTTTTTCACCACGAGCATGGGAAATGCCGAGCTTTCATCGCTAGTTAGGCGCTTGTAGATGGAGAGCATGTTCGCAAAGGAGGTGCCGAGCCCAGGCTAGGAGGTCGAGCGAGACCTGAGCCTCACTCCTAGCAACCGTTACTCTCAATGATACAGAGGGTATATACAAATGCAGCATGATGCGCTAATTACAATTCTGTCTGTATCTGCGAGAAGGTTTCATGGGAGAAGGGCTGGGCCATTTTTTCCATAACTAAATGCACATAGCCGAAAATCAGCAAAACAGATTCAGCTAGTGCATTTTTGTACGGCTCACGGTAGCCGAACTGATTAGTGATTAGCCAACCTAATGAGGCATATATCAATAGATAAACCTTGAAAACCGATAAGCAACCATATTTTATGATCCCACAAAATAAATGTTAATCGCAGATGTTGTCGTCTACAACGCAGAACCAGGCGTTTCTCCTCTGTTTCATTCAACCGTCGGTTAATTTCGAGATATTGTAGATGTATATTGTAAATTGTTCAGCGGTACGTGGATATCGGATAGGTATATCCATTATTCGACTAAAGTTTCGGCGGTATCGCTTTCTTCAGAGTCAATGTGCTGAATGCATAGATAAAGTATTGTAAAAAAATCGCACCAATACTTAAGAAGAAGCACTTAATTTGAATCAAGAACTTAGAAACATCAGTCTGACAAGAACAAGTTGTTTGCTTGCGTTTAGATCAAACTAATCTGCTTAGAAACCTACACGTTTTTGGATTCTAACATTCTGATTACATAATTTTAAACGATTCTACAGAGCAAGAATATAGGGTGCTCAAAAACGGCGTACACTAATTGATCTGGATATCTTTCTTGCTCTGGTGTTTTTCTCTCCTATTGAAGTAGACCACCCTTCAGCCTAGATTACAGTCTTCATATCTGCAGGATCACAGTAAAAAGTTCCAACATAAGGCGCCTGTGTGAGAAAAAAATTAAGCTAATCCAAGAAAATCCGAAAATTTGTGTAGCAGGTTCACGCATGCTATTTTCACCGCACAGCTTTTTATTAGTGTTTCGAATTTTTCAGGTTTCATTTCTGTAGTCATAATTTCCATCAACCCTAAAAAGAGTTGTCACAGTATACTCAGCAAACTCACAAAATATGCATTAGCCTGAAGTGCGAATTTTACATTTGAAGTCAGCAAATCTGTGGCCGTTTTCATCAAGAACTTATGGGTAAGCAAAACAGTGCCGATGTGTCGGATCGATATTCACCAAAAGCACTGCTGGGTTAGCGGTTTTTTTTTTCAAATATTGGGATATAACATAGTCTTGCGATCAACGCTTCAACACACTTCATTACTCTTTTCGTTTAATACTTCAACCTGACTCTAAATAATTATTTGAAATTCGTAAATCCTTCAGGGAAAACCACAAGCGCTACTGAAAACAGAGACATGCGCTTAAGAGGTGTAAGGCTTTGTTCAACGAGTTCATTCACCTTGAATAAGACGAACAGCAAATGGTGGCATAGTACAACCAGAACAGTATCTAAGCTTTCACACTCAAGTCGAGCTCATTGTCAGATGTGGAACCGAATAATAACAAACAATGTTATCATTGCCACATGAACTTTGCCCACCTGCAAGTAGACGACGAGTGCGCTATCGACGTCCATGGAGATGAGCTGGCTGAAAAAGTACATAGACAATCCAGTACTTCTCCATGACAAGGAGAATAATACATCTATAGAGGCTGGCATCAACGACAGGTTATGGTTAGCATAACGGAATGATTTCTTGATTTTAACTTATCTTTCTAGAGTTGTCTTAGCTTAGGCTCAAAGATTTTTAATAATTTTATGCAAAAATTTCCCATTATTTTTATTGAAGAATGCGTAACTTTTGATTGAGAGGGGTTCACTTCTTCCGAAATCATCGGGCAGAAGTCGATGGCAACTTTGATGTCGTTACAAAATAAATTCACTTGTGAAAGTTACTACTGGACGAAGACAGACTGCAACTTTACATAGTTAGGCGGATGTGAACACGGCGCCGGACGGCTACATATCGTCAACACGGCGCATTATACGTCATGCGGAAAAGAACAGCGTTTGCGCCCCTGAGTCCTACGCTTTGAAGTACAAAAGTTGCAAGCGTTCGTGTTTTTGTCGGGCTTCACCCAGAGCTTCTATATGATTCTTCTACAAAATCGAAACACCTATTTTCCTTGTGTTTCATTAGGCTGTTATCTAGGTTTTGCAACTGAATCCGTAACTTTTCGTTTTGATATTGGCGCGCACATTTTTTGATATTGTATAGATTGCCGTGCGAGCTCTTTAATGACGAAAAAAATCCAAGGAATCTTTGGAAACTAGTGAAATTCGGGGATTTATGGGGCTTTGATTAAAAATGAAGCCTTTCTAAACGTTAACCATCAACAACGGTACGAAATTGTCCGTGCATGTTTCTAGAGCTTGATTTATTTAGCTCAATAAGAAAGAGTGGAATTTGGAAACCAAGATTTGGTGCTCATAAAGTTGAATGAGCCGCTGTACGCAAAAATGATTCAAGCAAGCGTCAATAATGAAATAGTCGGAAACTCAAAATTCGCTGGAACGTTGAGTGATGGGGTGTTACTTGACCTGCCAAATACGAATATTATAATCGTTTGAGTTAACGTCTTTCTCTTTTCTTGTTCAAGGTGGGACCCAATACCGTAAATCTACAGTAATCGCGCTAAAGCTCTTAAGGGCCGGGCATACCGGGCAGCGATGCATCGCGTCGCGAGCTCTGCCAAAGGACAAGTGTTACACCTGCGTAGGAACCCGTTAATATGTACTAGCTGTGCGGCGCGACGCATCGTTCACCGTTTTTTGCTAGGCCATACCCATCCAAGCGAAATCGTCATCGTCGCTCATCTCAGCGAATTTGCGTCGCTCATTTCAAATGCGCGACGCGACGCATCGCTTGGATTGGATTACTTTCCAAGAGATTTTATGATGTTCTTTTACTTTTTGAAGCTAGTTTTTTGCATAAGAAGCGCGAATGAGTCCAGTATTCTCCGAATGTATTGGTTTTCTTTAGTTTTCTCTGTTATTTGTTAACGACACCACAAACTGACAACAAGATTTAGTGTAGTGTGAGAATGCACAAATCGCTTCAGAGGTATGCCACATATCCGAGCGATTAGCGATCCGTCGCGCGTTTTCGTCGTTAGAATCGCGACGATTGCTTCGCGACGGGTATGCCCGGCCCTTTACCATGCAATTCTAGTATTGTGTTCGTGATGAGCATGTCGGATAACCCCATACGCCAAGTTTTAGCCAAATGTGTGATTAGTTATCTGTGATTAACTATACCTTTATAGTTTTTCCCTTATACTACATACCTGCCGTAATTCTAAATGCGATGTCAGAATTTGGTAAAACTGTAGCTGTACTTGTAGCGTACCTCATAGCCTACATAATGACAAAATTTGAGTGTGTTATATTCAAAGAGGAAAAAATTATAAAAGTACTTGCAAAACTTATTAACACCCTAATGCTTTTTGTTTGGCAGTGTCTCTTATTTTTTCACTATCATCTTTTTTGAAAATGCTTTTTGGACTAAAATAGTGGTCTAAGGGACTTACAAGGGATGTAACTTAACTCAGTATCGCGTTTCAAGATGAGACACATATATTCGAAATCAGCTTCGAACGCTGATTCCAAATATGCTGTTTCTAGCTGCGGCAGCACGTCACTCTGAAGCGATTATCGATTTTCTTTTGTGCAAAATTTGCATACTCTTTGACCTACTGGCCTTACGACGTCATCTCCTGAGTACTAATTGACTGCAAAAATTCTCTTGTCATTTACAAAAGACTTAATCTGATATAATTTCAGTATCCCAGCACTTTTTTAGGCAGATTTCCATCTACAGGCAGCCTTATTATAAATAAAAGTATGGCAAATACGCACAGAGAAAAGCTCATAATTTCCTCCAGAATAGCGCGCCGCAGCTATGAACAGCATACTTGGAATGCGTTCAAGCTGATTCCGAATACATGTGTCTTATCTTGAAACGCGACACTAAGTGACATCCCTTGTTAGTTATCTTCTCTTCTATATAAGTGAGTATCAGAAATGAGACTAATTGAAGACTATTCTGAGGAAGCATAAGCAGGCCCTGGAGAACGTCCAGAAGGTTTTTACTCGCTTGCTTTTTTACAGATGTTATCCCAGTCGTGGTTATCCACGATCGCTTCCAAGCTATGGTGAACGAATGAAAGTCTTAGGTCTCAAAAGCCTTTCACATCGTAGGATCCTGCACGATATAATACTTGCTTTCAGGATTTTTAGAGGCGAGACTAAGCTAAAACCTTCTAAATACTGGGTGTTCAGGCCTAGTCGTGGAAGGACCACCGGGTTTTCTGTTTACTTACATCTAAATGGTGGGCGTAAACAATTCGACTCTTTATCAGAAAACAGCTTTTTCGCACACACTTCAAAATATCTTCAGTGTTTACCTAAAGAGGTCTTGTCTTCTCCAGATAGTCTCACTTTCAAACGAAAACTTAGGAAGTTAAACTTGACTGATTTTCTCCAAGAAGTTGAATTTGACTGATTTTCTTCCAGAGGACTTTCTTGTTATCGCTCGTATAGTGCTACCGTTTGCCTGCCGAACCCTGCCGAGCCCTTCCCACACCCACGACTACGCGTGTTCGGGCCTACTCCAGTACTATGTAATCGACCAACTCTGTCAATCTCTCACTCATCGCGCAGAAGGTTTTTCAGTGATAGCTCTCTCATGTACCAAGTTTGTGATCGGTGAACCTTTAAGTCACTCGCTGTTCAGATTTTTACTTCATCCACACGTGGTTCGGGTCCGGTTCATCCTTCGTAGTTATTTGGGAAGCTTGTCTGACCTGACATTTTTTGTATCACAATCTTTTATCTCGGAGTTCTGCTCTCTCCCCCGAACTCAGTCGGGCAATCAATATTACATCTGTTTTCCCGCATATACATTGCTTAAGTTGAATAATCTAAGAGCACTTTTGCTGTAAGCAGGGGGCATGGGACAGACTCCACCGAGCATCTGCACTGATATTCATACACGGTCCACAGGCTTACCCCTTTCCATTCACGGAGCTGGACTCGAGCTTTTGGGATGTTTTGTTATTTTCTTTACTGTTCAAGCTCTGAGTATTCGTTTTTTGTTTCAAATATGGCACGCCTTGTGCGTATTGAATAAATAAATAAATAAAAATAATTTTTTTTGCTAAGCGTTGGTTTGGCTAAAGTTTCATGGAAACCTTATGAACCTTTCACAGAGAAGAAGAAGGCGCAACCGATCAGTACGGAAGCGTGAACAAATGTGGAAGAAAGTACCAGCAGCGAAGCAGTACGAGGAGTAAGAGGCGTCCTTTTTTTTTACTTTTGCTTCTAGAGCAATCTCCGTTAAGAAAAAGCGACCACGACGAAGCTGCGAAAAGCGAAAGCAGCTCTGTCCAGCACAGCACATGCGCCACACCTAATGAGGGTTCAAAGGAGTCCGCATCGTCAGTTGCTGATGAGAGTGATATAAAGGAAGATGAAGTAAGAGAATTTATTGGTCACTGCGGTTTAAAGAATTATTGGTCAAAGAATTTATTGGTCACTGCATGAGAAATGGTGATATTAGATTCAATTTACATCCTCATAACTAACGAGCAGAAGCTCTGTAGAAGGTTGCCCTAAATACCACATGATATGGATTGGAAAGTGGGAGATTCTATTGATGACGTGTGGGAAAATTCTACTTCTGCTTCTTCACGGGTAGTTCACGCTTCAAACGTTAAAAGGGTAACGAGTCAGAACCTCTGCAGAGCTGATCATAATGTTCAGGCATCTTGCTTTGTTGAAATGCAATCCGACACATTAAATTTAAGCCTCTTGAATTTTTTCAGAGTCTGACAGTCTGAACAGCATCAACTTTTTTCGGACTTTTCGGAAATAAAATTTCGTTCATTCTTCTTCAGCCGGACACGAGATTGGTAATCGTTTGTCAATCCACGGCTAACATTTCAGCAGGTTTGCCTTCGTCAGACTTGTATAGATATGCAGCCAATCCGAACCAGAACCTCTACATCTTGTAGATGAAATGCTAGACTCCATTTTCGATCATTAGTTCAGATGCACGGTCAAGCACGTACCCTCTGAATTGCGCTGATAGTACTCTCCAGAGAAAAGTTGATTTCACTTCGTTCGCGGAGTTAGACGTGTATGCAGCCGCTATGCATATACTACTAAGAATAATTGACTTAGAGAGGGTAAGAGTTCATGCTAGGTTGCAATCTCATGCATGACTTGAGAAGAATGAACAAAATATTATTATCATGCCGAGACTTTTGAAAGTCGCACTATTGAATCTAAAAATATTTTAAAGCGTCATAAATGGCTTAATGCTAAAACTTAGCTAAGCTGGAAGCGACTTCAAGTTAAATCTTACAGCACACTTATGCAGAGTTTTGTTTCGCACTGTGTGCTTACGTCCACTCTAATCATCACGACATCATGATACGTGATGTAAAGTAAAGTAAAGTCGCTTAGATTTCTTTGTGTGCTATCGCACAATTCCAGCATAGAGCTGACCAGGACGCCAGAAATCATTTTTTATCTCTAGTGTTTCTTATTGTCTACTTCATTGTTTGGACAAGACGTGTCTTGTAGTAAACCCCATTTATCATAGCTGACCTGAGATGTCATCCAAAAGAACCTTGGCTAAGACCGTCCATCATGCTTTAAATTAGTCAATTAAACAGTAAGAAGACCGCCCGGCTAAGTGCCACGGTCAGTTCAACAGAATCACACTTAGCGAGGGCAAGTTCAAGAGTGAACCGAGGAAGATGGTGTGCAAAGGAGGGGAATCTGGCAAAAGTTCCGTAAGTTGCTCGTGAGTAACGGGGTAGATGAAGGCGAGTAGGAACCGGGAGATATGAGAGAAAGATAGAAAAGGCAGAAGCGCTAACAAATATCACGGTGCTATGCCCGGCTTAAAAGGTTAAGGTTTAAAACATGGTGGATTGACTATAAAAAGATTACTCATACATTTTGTGTGTAATGTATGTGTATGTGTATGTGTATATGCATAGGTATATGTATATGTATATGTATATGTATATGTATATGTATATGTATATGTATATGTATATGTAGATGTATATGTATATGTATATGTATATGTATATATATGTCAGTGGCGTACCGGGGGGCGCCCCCCCCCCTTCCCGAGAATGGGTCGCGAAATTTTTGAAAGTTACTTACATGAGTCAAAAAATGTGCAAAAGGCTTAATTATACTTGTAAGTAATTAAAATAATTTTTAAAATTTTTTAAAAATCCAGTTTAGCCCTATAAAAAAATTTTTGTATATGTATATATGTATATGTATATGTATATATGAGTAAGAGCTGGGCCCATTGTATATTACAGTTATTAGCATTGATAAACAGCAGCGGTTGATGAAGGGAGTTCTGGAGATGAGCGTACCGCTCCGCAGCGTAGGCCTCGGGGTCCCCTGCTGCAGTCTCATGTATCTGTTGTATATCGGTTAGCAACCGTTATCAAATTGTTCTCAGCTATACTTACTGTAGAAATATGTCAACAACTGCATATGCCACCGTGGGATATCGTTACCTCTCACCCCTTGGCATGGGAGAGGGGGGGGGACCCCGAGTTCTGGAGTTGAGCGCACTGCGGAGTGGTACGCTCAACTCCAGAACTCGCCTTCATCCGCTGCTGTTTATCAATGCTAATAACTGTTACATACAATGGGCCCAGCTCCTATGTATATGTATATGTATTTATGTATATGTATATATGTATATGTATATGTATATGTATATGTATATGTATATGTATATGTATATGTATATGTATATGTATATGTATATGTATATGTATATGTATATGTATATGTATATGTATATGTATATGTATATGTATATGTATATATATATGTCAGTGGCCCCGAGAACGGGTCGCGAAATTTTTGAAAGTCACTTACATGAGTTATAAAAATGTGCAAGTGACTTGTTTATTTTTGTAAACAATAAAAATAATTTTTAAAATTTTTTAAAAATTCAAATTAGCCTCAAAAAAATTTTTTTCGGGGCGTGGCTAACGCCACGCCCCCTTTTTCCAGATTTTAGGGTTGGGGGCCCACAAAAATTTTCAGAAACCCCCCTAAAATTTTTTCGGAGCGCGTGGCTGACGCCACGCACCTTCATTTCAAAAAATTTTTTGCCGCGCCCCCCCCCCCCCCGAGCCGAAATCCTGGGTACGCCACTGGTATATATATATATATGTATATGTATATGTATATGTATATGTATATGTATATGCATATGTATATGTATATGTATATGTATATGTATATGTATCGTTTATTCGTTGACCGTAACGACTGCTGACCGCGCGGCGACCGCTGCGCGTGCATGATGTTTTCGTAGAAAAGATGAATAGAAAGAAAACAGAGGATTCTTCTCATCTTTATAATGTAGAAAAGAAACAAAGAATTCTTCTCATCTTAAGCCACGGTCCAACTTGTCACTTTTTCGCAAGTTTAGAAGGCACGCGTCGCAGTCGCTACGCGGTCGGCAGTCCGTACGGTAAACGAATGAACGATATATGTATATGTATATGTATATGTATATGTATATGTATATGTATATGTATATGTATATGTATATGTCAGTGGCGTACCCAGGATTTCGGCTCGGGAGGGAGGGGCGACAAAAAAATTTTTCTAATGAAGGTGCGTGGCGTCAGCCACGCACACCGAAAAAATTTTTGGGATGTTCCCAAAATTTTCAGAAAAAGGGGGCGTGGCGGCAGCCACGCCTCTAAAAGAAATTTTTTTACAAAGCTAATTTGAATTTTTAGAACCAGTGCGTCACCTCTGCTTCGCAGAGGCTCGCACTGGTCTTACGTTATATGCTTTACTTGTTCTCGCCTAATGATGTCTTTGAAACTCACCGTGCAATGACGACTACCACGAATGAAATGTAAACAACTACTCATTTCAAAGGGTTTTTCATGTGAGATCGGTAATTTCGCGTGGATGGAACTTTTCACAGAAGAACAAATGCAAATTCGATTAGGTTTTTAAACTTCTTTTGGCTTTGTAGTCGCCATAAGGACAACAATTACCGTGAGCTACATTTCTATGCAAAAATCCTCTCAGATGGTCAGGTAAAGCCACGGCGGATTGAGCATTTGCGCAACCATTTCTTTTTGGCGTCGTTCTGGTGTAGTAGTAGACCTTTGGTCACTTTTTCGCCTAAAGTCCATGTCTTGCACATCAACATGCCAAACTCATCCACACTTTGCAAAAAGCGATGATACAGACCCAATTTTGCGGACCAGAAGCCAAGTGGATCCGTCTGACTCGCAAATTCTGATGGATCCACCCAACGAATCTGCGCGTGATTTTGTACGGTGGAGTTCTACGCTGGTAGCATGCGCTGTGCAAAATTTGGGCTCAGGACATTGGCTGGAACTCGCTCTATGAATATCGTTACAGAGAGACGGACACATACATACATATATATATGCGCGCACACACACACACACACACACACACACACACACACACACACACACACACACACACACACACACACACACACACACACACACACACACACACACACACACACACACACACAACACACACATACATACATACATACATACCAGTGGCGTACCGAGGGGGGGGGGGCGGGGGGGGGGGGGACGCGCGCCCCCCCCCCGAGAATGGGTCGCGAAATTTTTGAAAATTACTTAAATGTGTTATAAAAATGTGCAGAGGACTTATTTTTACTTGTAAGTAATTAAAATAATTTTTAAAAAATTTTAAAAATTCAAATTAGCCTTGTAAAAAAATTTTTTCCGGGGGCGTGGCTGCCGCCACGCCCCCTTTTTCTGAAATTTTGGGGTCAGGGGCCCGGAAAAATTCTAGGAAACATCCTAAAAATTTTTCGGAGTGCGTGGCTGACGCCACGCACCTTCATTAGAAAAATTTTTTTGTCGCGCCCCCCCCCCCCCCGAGCCGAAATCCTGGGTACGCCACTGATACATACATACATACACACACACACACACATACACACACACAAAGCCACGTAAACCTCAGTTATTTGTAACTTGATATGTGAGATTGCACACTGAGCTCTATTAGCGACGGCACCCGTGCTAGTAACTTCCCAGTAAAACATTTTCTAGCTCAACAAAATGTAGAAATGTGTTCTACTGACTAACAGATAACCAAGTAAAACAACAGAAACAAGGAAACAAGGAGAAATCACTGGAAATGAGCAGGTACTAGTTTCGCAGTTCGTCAGTTAGCGTGTATAGTGTGCACTACGCATATTAAGTTACAAATGAATCGACGATAAACACCCTTAGCCCGTTATGTGTATGTGTGTATGTGTGTACAGGGCTCCTAAATTGCAGAGTCGTTTGCACCAGCGGTCGCCCGACCGCGTCGCGCCCGGGCATCAATGGCGCCGCCTCGATCGATGGCGCCGGCGCCGGCAAAATGCCCGGGCGCGACGC